GGCTGCCCCAGCCATCTTTGTAAAGTTCCCCCGGCCCCAACTGCCCTTGGCCCCCTCTTCCAGCTGCCCAAGTTCTACCCCATTGCAAATGCATTCCACCTCAAGTCCCTCCTCCTCCCAGAAGCCTTTGCCACACACTGTAGCCCCTGACCGTAGTCCCCAGTTCAGCCTGGACCAGAAAGGGGTGGGCATGGATGGGGCTAAGGGCCTCGTCTTCCAGGCTCTGCTGGAGATAGGAGAAGGGGAAAGGTTACTTTGGACCTGGAGCTATTTTCTGCTGGTCATCCCCTCAGTGCCCCAGACCCATAGGGAACAGGGGCCGGGGTGGGGGGTTGGGGGGCTCTCAGAGTCCTGCTTGCTGCTCCCAGAAGCCTGAGGGGCTGAGCTGAAGGAGGTAGGGCCTGAGCTCTGGTGAGCGCTGATCAGTTGTACCAAGGGAAATCTGTGCTCTGGCAACTTGCAGGGGCTCCAGGTCCCCAGAAACATGTGGGAGTCTCGGTCCAGATCCTGTTTCTATACTTGGGAGCTGGTTATTTGCGACAGGATACTCTACCTCTCTGGGTCTCAGTTTTCCCATCTGTAAAATGGTAAAGGTGTCAGTTATTTGGAGGGGTGTTGTAGAGTAGGTGAGATAATTGACACATAGTGTCTAACACACCAAAGAGGAGGTATTCCATAAACAGTTGCTCTTACATAGTGTAAATAATACTAGCAATGTCAAGTTCCCGGCCCCCTCAATTTCTGACTGTGCAACTTTGAACAAATTCCTTGTGTGTTCATTTGCATCCTCATCTATAAAGTGAAGATTGTGTTTCACCCATGTACTCAATAAATAATTATGGAGTAACTTATGATGTGCTGGGCATTACTAAACCTGTCATTTCCTGTTAGTTCAAAGATGCAGCCCAGTGCCTGGCATATACTAGGTAATCAATAACTGTCAATAACTGTCAGTTTTCTTACGTAAGTCACAGCTGGACAGTGGGAGATAGAGGGGTTGGCACAGAGGAAGGGGGAGGGTGGAAGGCTGGGCCTGCCTCACATTCTCAGCTTCCTTCCCACCCTTTCCCCCTTCCATCAGTATAGCCTCACTTTGGGGCGCCTGGGTGGCTCAGTCGGTTCAGCGTCTGCCTTCGGCTCAGGTCATGATCCCAGGGTCCTGGGATCGAGTCCCGCATCGGGCTCCCTGCTCACAGCGGGGAGCCTGCTTCTCCCTCTGCCTGCCGCTCTCTCCCTGTCTCTGACAAATAAATAAATAAAATCTAAAAAACGAAATAGCCTCACTTTGCCTCTAAGCGAGGGGGTGAATGGTGCTGGGGTCTCTGAATAATTTACTGTCCCTTCTGCCCCTTGGTCCCATCAGACCATGTGTGTAGACTAGATCATCTGTCCATTGCCTATAAAATGGAGATAATGGTGCCTCTTTATTCTCAGACATTGGGGACACTGCCACGGTGCCCACCTCATTAAGAGTGGTCTCCTCACCAAGGTTTTCTGCTGCCTTATGGTCCTGGCTCCTCTCCCAGGGACCACAGGCTGGACCCAGAGTCACCTCTGGCTCCTTAGCACTGAAGCCCCACACCCTTCCCTTTTGACACTGCCCAGCCCCCAGCCATACCAGACTGGATCCTCATGGGGGGTTCCGTGTATGCATGTGCGTAAGCAGCGTGAGACCTGACACACAGGAGGTCTACAATACAATTTGATTGGATGAATCCACAACGGATGCCCCCTCTGCAAATGCGGCTCATTCATTCAACCAACCAACATTTATCCAACTCAAAATCCATTTGGTGCCAAGCTCTACGTCAAGGGCCACGGCACTGACATCACCAATAGCCAAGCTCTCCAAAGACTGACTGTCACTCACAGGTTTCCTGCTCTCAGCACCTCCTCATCCCCACCAGGCCGCCTGACTCTCAGACCCCCAGCCCCCTCCCTCACGCCCAGAGACCAGAGTACTGGCACCACCATGGATTTGAGCTGCGGCAGAAGGTGGAGTGCCAAGTCACTGGGTTTGGGGTCAAATCCTCGTGCCATCAATCACCCTGTGCCTTAGGCAAGTTATTTAACTTTCCAGAGCTTCATTGCTCTCATCTGGAAAATAGGAGTGCATCAGATTGCTTATCTCATATTTGCTGTGAGGAATAAATGAGATAAGGCGTATGCTTAGAACACTGGACAGCACATAGTACATGCTCAGTGAACATGAGCTATTCGTGATGGTTATGACTCCTCTCTGTCACGCATGGCTCAGCAGCTCCAACGGCCACAGTTCTTTCCCTGGGTTCTGCGTTTCAAGTCATAAGCAAGCCACGGGGATCCCACACTACTTCTAATTACAAGAGGAGTCAATTACTTCTTTGGCCTTCCAGAACCTCTACCTGTTTTCCTCTCCCAGGCCCCCCTTGCACCTTTGGCCCATTTGAGGCAAGTAGTCAGGTGGTAGGGCAGGGAACAGCTGACAGATGTCGGCCATGCCCACATGGAATCCCAGAGCCAGAGTGGGTGGCTGGGTACATGGTGGGGGGTGGGGAGAGGTTCCGGGAGAGGACAGTGCCTTGTCCAGGGCTCTCTCAGAGATTTCTGGCTCTGGGCGTCCGTTTCCTCCTCGGTGAAATGGGGACCATTCTGTAGGTTTATTTTCCTTGACTGTTGTAAAGCCCAGAGGCTGGAAGTCTAGAAACAGTCTTGCCCTCAGAGAGGAAAAACAAGTTTGGGAGGTAGAAATGGATGTCTTCCCTCAGAGCTAGGTGTGCCCAGACCTGGGTGGGGACTGCCTGGCCTACCCCTTCCCCGTGGTCAGACAGGGCAGGCCCCAGCTGGCCCCTTCCTCAGGGGACCCCCTGGCATGCCTCCTCTGAGCCACGTCCTGTCACTGAACTGCCTGAGAGTGGCCTGGGGCTGACAGAGGGGCTCAGACCCCTGGCTCTCAGGCCAGGCCCTGAGCACGCCCCCCCCCCCCAACCCATGGATTTCCACCCCGGAGGCTGCAGTGTGGCTAGCTCTTCAGGGCTCTGACCTCTGAACTCAGCCCAGGCCTGAGGGGAGACCCCCACACTGCAGTCGGCACATCCTAGGCCCAGCCCATAGCATGCTGATAGCATCACTGGTCTCTGCTCCAGACTGGCCAGCACCATCTCTCTGTCTCCCCACTGCTGGGGCTCAGGCAGGGGTGGTGGCGCTGCCAGGAGCAGAGACCCCTCCCAACGGGTCCTGGGCAGCTGTAACTCTGCCTTAACTGAAATGTGCAGCAGGAAGACCCCCGAGGAGTGACGTCCACCACCTCCCTGCTCTGAGCGAGGGGCGGCAGATTGAGCCGCAGCGATCTCCGGGCCACAAGCTGCCATCGGGGGACAAAGCAAAGCAGTGACCCAGGGATGGCTCCCAGTCGATGGGAGTGGCTTCTTCCCCACCCTCACTCCATGCTTCTCACCCTGGAAAACACTGGAATCCAGGTTGGGGTCACACTGACCACAGTGCCTGTCCAGTGCCTTGGCGCTTACCAAGCGCCTTTCCATTTCCTATCTTGTCAAAGCCCCACAGCAGCTGGTGAGGTAGGTGAAGACTATCAGCCTCATTTTATAGACGAGGTAGATGGGCTCAGAGAGGCAAATGGACTTGCTCAAGGTCACACAGCTGCTAGATAGCAAAGCCAGGTACAGCCTGGAAACCACACACTCATGGGAGGCAGGGTGGCACAGGCTCTGTGACTTTGGGCCAGTCATGTGACATCTCTGAACCTCAGTCTTTTCATCTGAAAAATGGGGATGGTAAGAGTTCCTATCTTATCAGGTTATTGTGAAGATCAAATGAGATAATGCTCTAAAACATATTCGGTACAACAATGGCATAGAGGCCTGCCCAATCACCGTGAGCAATGATTATGATTATTATCTCAAGGATATCCAGATGCTGTTCCTGTGGAGGCCACACCCCAGATGAAGCCTTGTTACCTGTAGGGTCCCATCTTGTCTCTGTTGGTGGTATTCGAGACCTGCTAAAGTGGGCTCACGGTCCTTGTGTGAAGAAGCAGGGGCAGCGTAAGGCCGTAGGATTCCTCTCTGGGTCTGCCTGCCAGGGGAAGGAGTTCGGGAGCCTGCCTTTAGCCCTGGTTCACAGCCCCCCAGTGGCTTCTGCCTGCTTTCTCACATGGGCCTCAGGTCTGCACCGGGCCAAGTCAGGCATTGGCTGAGGCTCTGCCCTGAGTCTTCCATCCTTAGGGGACAAAGCTGAAGATGGGGGGTGGGAGGATTGGGGGTGATCGAGTCTCTCCAAACAAGCCCCTGCCCAACCTAGCCTGCCTGGTCCTCCAGGGTCTGGGGAAGCCCATCTCTCCAGCATGGACGTCTGCCCCATGGGAGCAGCTTGCTCCTTCTCTGTGTCCTGGGTAACCCTGAGATGGAAGCGGGGGTGGGGTGGGGTTGTGTATCTCCAGGTAAGTTTGCCTTTGGGAAGGAGAGGCAAAAGTCTGCCTTGGAGTAGGAAGCATGGGGGGGTGGATGTAAATGATCCTGGGCCCAGCTGGGGTGACACCACCCCTAGGCCCTCAGTCCTGCAGTCAGACCAATGGTTAGCCTTGGCCTTGGGCACCACTCCTGGGGAGCCTGCCACCTGCTGATAAACCCCCTTCAGGACAGGGCCCAGGCCAGCAGCCAGACTCCACCACTAGGCTCAGGGCCCTGCAAGAGGAATCCCAGGTTAGGCCTCTCCCACCGAATTTACATACTTTTGGGCACCCCTTTCAGGAGCCCTGCAATGACAAGGGAGGGAGGGCGGTTCTGGCCATACATCCTGGGACCTAGATGGTAAGGAGGCATCTCTCTGTCTAAGATGAGCTCCGTGAAAGCTCTGGGGCCTTTGGGGCTAGATCCTTTGCATTTTAAAATTTTATTATGACTGCGTTTGTTTAAATATATATATATATATATGTATATATATATATATATATTTATTTATAGCTCTATATGCCCACCGCCCCCCAGACCCCTCCCTGGCCCCTAGTTTTTCCCCTTGGCTTTCTGTTTGGCAGCCGTGTAGGGCAGCAACGTCTGAGTGCTCTTGTCTGACACCGTTTGGGTGCTACTGTTCCTTGTGACCCTTCGGGTCTGCTCAGGGGCCAAGGTGGGGCCTGAGCGGCGGCTGGTCAACGGAGAGCGCCTTGGCTTGTGGGGAGCAGGGGAGGGCTTGAGGGGGTCCACATGGGCCTCTGGACGGGGCGGCTCCGGGCACAGGCCCACCTCCTCCTCGGCCACCTCCCCCTCGCCGTCCCCTTCCTCATCGTCACAGCACAGAGCGTGGTAGAGCACTTTGTCGCTGAACCGCACCCTCTCGCGCGTGCCTGGGGTCCGCTGGGGCAGCTGGCCCTTCACAGGGCCAGCACCGAAGGCCTCCTCACTGGAGGAGTCCGGGGTCTCCACTCGTGGCCCATTGGGGATGGGCGTGCCGCCATTCATGAGCCGGTAGTCAGGGCCAGCCCCTGGTCGGGTCAACTCGGGGCCGTCCACGGAGTCCGAGGGGGTGGACGCGTCCAGGAAGGAGCAGAACTCCCAGCTGTCCGAAAGGATGTCGGCTGTCATGAAGTCCAGGTGCCCCAGGTCGAAGGGGCCGCCCACGCCTGCCTTGTCACTGCTGGAGGTGCTGCTCACAGTGGCCGTGGTCCAGTCGTCTGGCTCCAGTTCAAAGTCGAAGTCTGAGGTTAGCTTATCGATCTGGCTCACCACCTGGCCAGGGAAGGAGAGAGGGGTGAGGGGGTCTAGCGTCACGTGGGGGTGAGCATGCCCCCGTCCCACCCTGTTAGATGCCTGGCTCATGACCCCAGAGGATGGTCACAGGTTTGCCTGCCTGGTGAGGGCCCGTGTTGGACCAGGGTGAGCAGGTTTGGGCCAGTTCCCCATTTCCTACTCCTCAGCCCCTCCTTCTAGCCCTGCACCCCATCCACCCCCACACCCCTCTCCCCCAAAGCCGGCTGCTGCTCTGGGCACAGCCCTGGTGCTCAGAGCTCCATTCTCCTTGGATCGAGAGGCAGCCGTTTGCAGAGGGCTGGCACTCCAGCAAGGCCACTCAGTGGAGAGATGAGCAGGCCACGAACCTTTGGAGAGGAAATGATACGGGGTGACCATGAGGAAGACTCTGCCCAGGTTTTCCAAAGCATCCTGGACCAGCCTGTGCCGCTGGTCAGTGGCTGTCCCTGTGGGTCTCCACCACCGCACCCCCACAAACCCTGGAACCCCCTCCCTCCTTCCCTTCCCCTTGATGAGTGGAGATTAACCCTGGCTCCTTGGGGAAGGAATAAGACAAGCATCATTTGGTAAGCAATAGGAAACCGCCCCCCCCCCATCCCGGGCCCAGAGCCTCTCGTTACATGCACTCAGGGGGCACCTCAGCTGCCGAGGTCAGTGCACCCCGCCCACCCCACATGAAGGGACACACTGTCTCCATACAGGTGGCCTGCCTCAGGACACCCCCTCGCCTTGGCCCCACAGCACAGAAATCGGGAATGAAGACCGTGAGGGGAAAAGGGAGACCCCATCAGAGATGTTGGGAGAGGACCGAGTAAGAGAAGGAGAAATGATTCTGACCAAAACCAAAAACAGCCAAACAACAACAATAGCCAAGCAGAGGGACCAAGAGACCTAAAGACAGGACATGCGCAGTGAGTCACCAAGCCCAGGATCCAGCTCCAGGCTCCTCTCCGGTGCCTTTTCCCGGAGTCAGAGCAGTCAGTGAATGAATTAGCTAAGGAAGTTCCTAGTCTAACGAACTTTTATGAGGATGACTGCTGTCCAGGGATGTGCTAGGTGTTCGGTGAGGGGTGGGGTGGGGAGCGCCCCAAAGTGCAAGACGAAAGCAAGGCCAAAAACCGTGGGCCAGGAGGAAGTTTCCTTGGTCAGGAGTTGGGGGGGGGGGCTGCCAGTGACCTGGTGATTTTTCCTCTGAGGCTCAGTTTCTCAATCTGCAAATGGGGACCTTGGGCGAATGGTTTATTACCAAGATTCCTTCCATCTCTGAGATTCTAGGACTCTGTGTTTATAGGGATGACTTGAGAAGCTGTTTTGGGGTGTCCATGCCTAGGGATGCCCACTCCCCATGGCCCCAGGCCCCAGGGGTGGTGGGGACACTTGGCTGAAGCCTGCAGAACTGGGAGAGTCAGGACACTTGGGTTCCAGATTCAGCTTCGACATTGTTCTGTGTGTCTTTGGGTAAGTCACATAACGTCTCTGGACCTCAACTATTTGAGCATGATGACCCCAGCTCTGTCATCCTCATCAGCGCTTCATGAAGAGCAAGGAGGAGGGCAGTGAAAAGTCTCCATGGGGCACTGGTGAGAAAAGTGACATCAACTCCCATCTCTGAGCACCCACCAAGTGTCAGGCTTTCCACCCATGAGATCATCATCTCCCGAGCTTCTAGAAGACACACCAGAGGTACCAGTAACTGGAGGGAGCTGAGGTTCCCACCCCCTCCCGCTGCTCCCCTGCAAGACTGCACACCACCATGAGGTGCTGCTGGGATTTCTGGGCTTGGGCAGACAATGGGGACAGGGCCCCACCCTCCAATCTGCCCTCCCTGTCTTATGTCCCCCACCCCCGAGTGACTCCCCCTCCCTCAGAGAAGCTCACATCCCCTAGAAACCCTTGGCTCAACCCAAGCCCCACTTGAGGGGTGGGAGCTCCAGCCCAGAGCAGAGGGCTCTCACTCGGGAGTGTGCACCAGCCCACTCCCCAGAGTTTCTGATTCAGTAGGTCTTGGTGGGGGGGGGGGAGGGGGCTTGAGAAGGCATATATAAAACGTGTTTCCAGGTGCTGATCCAGGAGCATACTTTGAGAACCACTGGCCTGGGGCCTGGGATTTAAGCGGGTGAAGACCTAGAACCTCAGGGCATTGTCAGCCTGAGGGGAGGCCCTGCATCTCTGGGGCAGTCACACCCTCAAATGAGACTCCCCCTGATCAAGCTGAGCCTGAGTCTGCTGCTACAGAAGCGTGGGGACACAGCTAACAGGAATCTGGTTGAGTGGTGGGCTATGACAACACAGGGTTGGCTGAGGCTAGGCTGGGCCCAGAAGCGGAGCTCCTAATGCCCTGTGAGGAAGACCTGGGGTGCACAAGGCAGGATCCCTAAAGCTGTCAGGCCTGGACACACTCCTTCCCACCCAAGAAGTTCCTGCTGGCCACCAGCTCAGGCAGGCAGCCTTCCCATAAAGGCCCTGCCCCTTCTCCATTAGAGCGCCCTCCTCCGGTTTCATCCTGAGGCTGTGGAGGGACAGGACAGAGGGAAGCTAGGGGTCACACCCCAAGTAGGCCACGTCTCGGCTAAGGAACTCGAGGCAGGTGATTTCCCCTCTCCAAGTCTCGGTGTTCTAAAATGGGATGCCCCTCCTCTACTCACCAAGGTGATGGGGACTCACTAGATATGGGTGTGCTTTAAACTGCAGCATCGGCATTGCCAAGCACTCCACAACCTGGGCTCTGGAGTCAGACTTAGGGTCCAACCCTGGCCTCACCACTGACGGGCTGTGTGACCTTAGCCAAGGTAACCAGTGTCTCTGTGTCTAAGTGTCTTCGTGAAGGGGAATTCTAGTCGCACCTACTTGATAGGGCTGTTGTGAGGATTTAATGACATGACACACGGGAAGCAGGTAGAACAACGCAGACTAGATCAAAACCCACTGTGCGCCCGTGGGGGCTAAAATGTGACCAGGCCCCTGGCACCAGGCCCAAGAGCTGATGGGAGTTTCCAGTGCCTGTGGCGGAATAATGGGACATATTGGGCATTTCAAGTCCCAGCACATGGGTGGCACCCGTGCTCCCTAAAGTAGGTTTGTCTCCGGACAGAACAGAAGGAAGCAGAAGAGGTTCTTTTTTTTTTTTTTTTTTTTGAAGCAGAAGAGGTTCTAAAAGCCAGGCAGTAATGAAGCTCAAAGGCGAATCTGGCCCCGACCATGGGGAACAGGCACACCCACCTGATGAATGGCATAAGTGAGGATCCGAAAGGGGAGCGATGTGCCAAGCATACCCAGACTGTATGCAGGGTCCCTGTACCTCATCTCATGGAGCCTGTGCGGATGGCAGAGGGCGGGCAGGCCCCCACCTTACCTGCCTGTCTGCTTCGGATGCCTCGAAATCTGTGATTTCTCCCTGAGATTTAATAATCATTTTGCCTGCGTGTAATTTGGGATTGTCTCGGAGTGCAGGGAAATAATTATATATACAGAAGGAAGGAGAGGGGGAGAAGAGAGAATGGAGAGAGAAATGACAACATAAAAATCATAGAATCATAGAGCCTCAAAGCCAGAGGCATGGAGACGCTGCTGACTTCACCGTTCTCACTGTGCTTGCTGATGGGGAAACTAAGGTAAGGCCCAGACACTGGAAGCAGTGGAGCTGAGAGCACAAGTCAAGAGTCCTGGCACCTTAAGAACAAGACTCGCCTGATCTAGAGGTGAAGGGCAGGGCTGAGGGCTGTGACACCTGCTGGGGGTCCCAGGCCCCATCCCGAGGGCGTCCCCAACCGCTGTCCTGCTCACAGCCTCAGCTCCCTCACCTGAACCACTGTCCCCACCTGGTGGCAGCTTCCTGTCCTGTTCCTGCTACATTCAAGGCACTTGGTAATCAGCCAACAGGACCACGTCACCCCTCTGCTTCCAGCACTTCCCTGAGCCTCGCAAACACAAACCCTTACCAACTCTGGCCACAGGGCCTTTGCTCTCCAGCAGGCAGCCACCACCCTGCCAGGCCTGCCTCCTCACCAGCTCTACACACTCCACCGAGCCTGCTTCAGCCTCTGGGCCTCACCTGGAATGCTCCTTCCTTTGCTCCTCATCCATCTCACTTCCAGAAGGAAATCTCTGATGCTCCACTGAGGATAGGTTCCCTATGATAGGCTCTCAAGGCGCTCTGCACCTTTCCTACAAATATTTTCCAGTATTTATCACGGCTACACTTTTATGTGCATATATGTTACAAGAATGATGTCTCCCCACTAGACTATAGTAAGCCCCATGAGGGGTGGGACTGGGAACGCCTTGCCCACCATGGCAGCCCCAGTCTGGCACAGAGGTTGACACACTCTTTGTGGATACAGCCATTGGATGAGTGGGTGAGTTGAGACAGAGGGCCTTATAAAAACTGCTGGGGGCTGCTTTTCTGAGGAATTCCATGGTCCTATCTTGCCTGCCCCAGCCCCCCCTCCAGCCCTGGTTGAGCCCCCACTCCAAAGAAAGCACATCTGTGTTCCCTAAGGCCCCAGAGCCAGGATTGAGGACCCAGGAGTCCCAGCACTGGCATCTCCCTCACCTCCGGCCCCCTCACCTCACGCGACAAGCGGCTACGTCCTCCCCTCCCTCCCAGCTCCCCAGGCAGCTGGTTACATAACTGGGGATCTGCATTATTTATGACCACTGATTATTTTTTAATTCTGTGATTATGTTATTTATTGTCTTCCTGGGGGGCTGTGGAGCTGGGGAGAGGGGAGAGAGTTGACTGTGATTCATGACTCTCATCCTGCAATTTGGCCTAAATGGCCAGGGAGCTTCGTGAATCTGTCCAAAGGAGGGGAACGCGAAGGGAAAAGGGACAAAAGGAAGGTGAGAAAAAAGAAGAAGAAGAAGAAAAACTCTGCACAATTCTTGCTGAGCGGCAGGTGATGGAGCTGACCCACTTCGGCACAGCTCCGTGGTCCCCAGCCTCTCCTGCCCCAGCCGCTTCCTGGCTGGGCCTCGTTCATCTCGTGCCCACCCGGCCCCTGTCTCTCCGTGCCGCCCCACACGCAGCCCCTTGCCCAGGGGACTGCACGGCAGTTAGCGGGCCTGTTCCCCGTGAAAATCGGGCTGGGGGCGGGCCCTCCGCGGCCACCCTAGCTGGGCAGCTGTGCCAAGTTAGATCTCCCCCCATGGTGAACCCGAGATCATTTATGAGCCCCCACGCTGAGTGACACCTTGGGGAGGAGAAGGCCACGTAACTGCTTAAGATAAGCTCAACAGCTGGAGGGCAAGGATGGGGGCCCTTGCCTCTGACCTTGGGGCCCCCAGCTGCTGGGGAACTGGGAGAGCAGTGGGGAGGCAGATCCCAAGCCAGAACCACAAGCAGAAGGTTCCTGGAGAGCATGTGGGGTTCTCACTGAGGGTATATCTGAATTTCATACCATGGCCTGCAAGGCTCTGTGTATAATCTGACTCCCTGCTCTCTCTTTGACCTTCCTTCCTGCTTTTCTCCTCCTGGTTCACTCCACTCCAGCTGCCCTGGCTTCCTTCTTGCTGATCCCGAACTTGCCAAGTACACTTCCACACTTCCTCCTTAGGACCTTTGTACTGGCTGCTCCCACTGCCTGGCAGGCTCTTCTCCTAGATATCTATTTGTCTTGTACCGTCTTTCCCTTTGGGTCTCTGTTCAAAAGGCATCTCATTGGAGACCCTGTCCCCCCATCAGTGTCACTCTCTGCCCCTTTCCATGCAGGAAGAGGGTGGCACTGTCTACTGCAGGAGATGTTGAAGGGTATCAGCCAGGAGGCCAGGGGCCTGGCTCAGACCACTCCGATCATGGCTAAGAAGCTCATAGGACTCCAAAAGAGCAAGGCCACACCTGGAGTAAGGCGCAGGCCAGTGCCAGGATGTTTCATTAATAATGTCTAAAAGATGGGGAGCTAGTTTTTGGGTTCATCTCTGTGCTAAGGACTTTATATATGGTATCACATTTAATTCTTAAAACAAGCCTGGGGCTGGTCTCAGAGGCATAAAATTCAGTGTCCTCATTTGCCAGAAGATAGAAGCCCAGAAAGGTGAAGTAATTTCACCAAGTTCACACAGCTAGGAAGGGGGCAGACCTCGGATTTGAACCAGAGACCTCTGGCCACAAGAGCCCGTGCTCTTAGCCTCCGGGCTGCGCTGCATCTCTGAGTTAAGATGCACAGAATTTTGTGGAGCTTCGAGAGCCTGCTGGGATTGGCCTAGCATCCTGGGGTCTTGGGGGACCTAGAAGAGTGAGGGCTAATTAATGATTGACTGTCACATCCCTCTGCAGTAGTTTCAGCTTTCAAAGCACTTTTGCATTCCTCACCTCTCCTAGTCCATTAAGGTACTTTCCCCACCCGTAGGACAGAACTTGCTTCCTATCACATGGGGAGCCCCGTGAGGGCTACAGCAGGGGTCTGGGAGGGCGGGGGAGGTATGGGAGAGAGAACTCCAAAACCTTTAGGGCTGTGAGTGCTAGCCCCCCTTACCACATGCCAAGCCCCAGATAAATCTTTGTAAGAGCACTCTGAGATGAGAATGATCAGCATCCCCATTTCAGAGATGAGTAGCCGGAGGCTCAGGGGCTTGGGGAGGAAGCGCTTTAGTGTCTCTCATCTTTCTATGAATTTCAGGCTGTGTGCTCAAGAGGATAAGGAGAGTCTGCCATGATCCGTGGTATCTGGGACTAGGGAAGTTAAGCAGCAGCAGCAGGAGGAGGGTGGCCTTGCTTCTTCAGTCAAGCAGCCTGTGCTCTACCCCGGCAGTCTTGCATGTGAATCTTGTCTTCCCATCTAAGCGTTTTGCTCTCCTGGGATGAGCACCCAGCTCAGTGAGCCCTGAGCTGGCGGTGTCTGGGGAAGGGGGTATAATTGAGCAAACAAGTACCTGCCTCCACCCTCTCGACCTTGGGTCTACCCATGCCCCCGATGGAAAAATGCCACACAAAGGGACTGAGAAGAGCCAGGTAGATCCAGCTTTAGAAGCCCCCCTGGAGGATCAAGAGCCAAGATCACAACCCCTTACCCCAAACCGAGGCCTGGCCCTCCCACTGGGTAACCCCATTCCTGACAAATCCCATCCCACAGGAAGTCAGCTATGGTGTCTCCTCTTCTGCCTTCCCCAACATCACTTCTGCCCATCACCCCATGTCCAGACCCTGCCTGGGGGGGTGGGGGAGTTCTGAGGCCTGCCCCCCCTCCCAGCTGGGTGCCATTGGCAGCGGGCAGGCAGTGGCATACGGGGTAGATGCTGGTTGCCGTAGCAACCTGCCAAAGTCTTGGGTGGAGGCACATGGCCTCCAGGGTGTATAGGGGGAGGGAGCACATCTCTCTCTGTCCTGTCTCAGGCCTTTGGGCTGCCCAGCCTGTGAACCTGAGGCTCTGCAGTTCAAGACAGGGGGGTGGGTGAGTGTATGTGCTGAGAAGGGAGAGAGAGAACATCTAAAAGATCTGCAAATAAACCCCAGTGCTTCTGATCTCCCTGCCTCATCCACAGAAGGGCACCCCCCTCAGAGCATCACAGCATGTGTGAAAGAGAGCATCTTTAGAAGGCCCCAGTCAAAATGCAAAAAAGATCACCTCCTAGCCCACCGGCTCCAGCCTCAGAGAGGCAACAGGAACCTGAGTTCTAATTAGTTCTGCCCCTGGTAGGCTGTGTGACCTAGGATAAGCCCCTAGCCCTCTCTGGGCCTCAGGTTCTTCAAACAGAAAATGGACAGGGCTGGTATGGATGACCTGTGAGATGTCTTTAAGTTCTGGAGGACTATGCCTGGGTGGACAGGGGAGGCGGATCTTGGAAGATGCTCAGTTGAGAGTAGGTTCTGCGCTGTATGATTTCCAGGCTTAGAGTCAGTCCTGGCTCTTTTCTGGGTGGGCTCTTTTCTGGCATAGGTCCCATGCCCCTGCCCAGGACTGAGACTCCAGATGGTTCCCATGGTCCTGATGGACCCACAGAGCACATAGAAAAAGATGGGGTAGGGAGGGAGGAAGAGGGGTTGTGGTCCTTTGGACCAGTGAGGGTGGGGGAGGAGGGGTTGCTCAGGGGCATGTGGCCTTTGACCACAAGGCTGATTCTGGACTGAGTAGCTGCCCCGCCCCAGCTCAGTTCATGTCCCAGTCTCTCCACAACCCCTGTGCTCTGGATACAGCTCCCTCCAAACATCTCCTGCTCTTTGGCTCTCAGGCCAGGCTGGGGTTGGCACCCACCATCGCCCCCATCCTCCCGCATGGCTAGCTGGGGAAAGCAGGAACCCATAACTCCCATTAAATCACTTGCTCTACCGTCTCTGCAGAGGCCCTGGTTACAGGGAGTTGAAATTTGCCTAAAGTCCACCTGGCTGGCATAATGGCACCCAGTGGGCAAATTCAGGCCAGTGGCTCAGAACTCTGGTCATGCATTTTGGGCTTGAACACAGCCCAGGGGGCAGGGCTGAGGACATGTGTACCTCACTACCCCAGCGATGTGGGAAGTAGTCATTAAACCGGCTCCACTTAGAGAGACAGAGAGGGACACACATCCCAGGATCTCTCAGTGACTTTTCAGCCTTGGCCGAACCATTCAGAACTGTGGACAGGGATGCATGCCTTTAGATGAGATTCCTGCCCCCGCCGCCCAATGTACGCAGGAACTCTGGTATCCACTAGCAGCCCCCTGGACGCATTCCCACCTCAGGGCAGGGAGGGCATAGCTGGCTTCAACCTTTCCAGAATCAAGGGTTCTGAGTAGCTGTGTGATTTCTGGAGAATGCTCTGAGCTGGGCCTCCTCAGTAGGGCTGTCAACACCCTCCCAGAGCCGCTTCTGAGCAGGTCAACGTCTGGGAGGCAGATGGCGGGGTCAGAAGCCAGCTTGGGCCCCAGAAGAGTGTCTCCCACTAAGAGGCTATGGTGGGATTTGGTCTATATTTGTCAACTTGGCAGCGCTGAGTGCTAACCACAGAACCGGGGGCCCACGACACGCTGCCCAAGCCGACTCTGCCACACTGGGGCCCCACTAGTCCTGGAGTATGCTGAGATTTCTAGCAAAGCAGATTTGGGGGAAAGGAGAACAAGGAAAAGGAAGTACCCAGCAAAGTGACATGTGTGCACACGACTTTGAGTACACACACACACTGAAACACATATGTGAGTGTGTTTTTGTGCCAGGCCCAGGAAAACTGGTCTGGCCCCTCACTCACCTCCCTTAGCTCCTTGGCCACCTCCTTGAGTTCCTGCAGGATGCCCTCGAGCTGCCCGATGACCATCTTCATGCGCTGTCGGATCCGCTCCCGCTGGCCACCACTGCTGGGGTCGTCACTGGGCTGCCCGAGGTCCGGGGCGCCCCGAATGTTCATCCTTTACCACGTCGCTGCAGGCCCGCCCATATTCCCCCCAGCCGGGCACACGCTGCGTCTGCCTCCACGGAGCCCCCCTCGGCCAGGCCGAGCTCCACATCTTAACGGCCCCCCAGCCCACCCTGGCCCTGGGTGGCCCTCACCCGGCCCCTGCCCCCTGCCACCCCGCCTCCTCTGCCTCTGGGTGGGGAATGGGACACCCAGAGGAAGACAGAGTCTGATGGAGGGGGTCAAGGTGAGGACACAGGAGGACAGGGGGAGGGGCCTTGGGTCTCAGGAGTGGCCTCCAGGACTTGAAGTGCCCGTGCCTATGCTGAGCTGATCTCTGGCTGAGCCTGGACACAGAGGCAGGGGGATGACTCTGCAGGGACTAAGGGTGAGAGATGCCCTTGGGATGGGGGAAGGCAGCAGTAATCCCTCACAACTCCTAGGCAGTTGCAAAGACAGAGGTCTTGGGGTGCAACTGACACTTGGAGAGGGATGGTGGCTGGGGTCTTCCAGATGTGGATGTGGAGGGGGCTCCAGATGTGGGTAGCTCTGAAAAGGGAGCTGGACGGAGAAGGGCAGCCCCCTGCAGAGAGAGCAAGCCTGGCGTCAGCCCTCCCAGGCTGCAGCACCAGCCGGCAATGCCGCTGCCTCCCTCCTCTCGCCAGCCTGCACCCTTCGTCGCTGGGGATTTTTTTTTTTTTCTTTGTGGGGAGGGGTGGTGGAGGCAGATTATCTACAGCATAGCCCTTACTCTAGAAGGAAATGAAGGAGCCCCTGCTTTAAAGGCAGAAGTCCTCTGCCTGCTACGGGGCACCCTGCCCAAGCTCCCCCAATCCCCCGTGTCTCCACCCCCCCAGCCAGGCCTGGTTCCGCTGGTTCCGGAGAGGGCCTCTCCAGTCATCTGTCCTCCCTCCAAGTGCCCCCAGGGTGCCCTCACTCCCAGAGGACCCTCCCTTCCCCAGCCCCGCCTTTCCACTGAACCCCCGCTCTGCTCCCCGACTCACCAACGGTGCGGGCACCGGCCTTCGTTCCCAGCGGCGTCGGGGGCCAAGCCCCAAGAGGAGGTTTGGGGGGCCCCCAAGGCTCCCTAGGGCGGGCTTCTCTCTCTGGACCCTTCGGCCCCTGGCCTCAAGGAGGTCCTCAGAGCAGCCACGGGAGACATCTGGACGGTGGGAGGGGGCGGGACCTCCGCGCTCCAAGGAAGGGGGCAGGAAAAATCTCCCCCAACCCCCGCCGGGCTCCGGGTCGGGAACGAGCGAGGGTCCGGCGGGCTCGGGGCTCCGAGGCCACAGGTGACCCGGGCGCAGGGCGACCGAGGCGACGCCGGGCCGGTCCCAGCGCGTGAGCCAAAGTCGGAAGGATCGGAGGGCGCCGGGATCCCCTCAGCCCACGCCTGGCATCCCCCGGGCTCGGCACAGTCCGGGATTCGCTCTGTCCAGTCCAGATCGGCCGGCTCCAGGCTCCGCCGGGGTCTGCCTGCCCTGCCCGGAGTGAGCGGGCACCAATGGGCGCCCGGGGCGCGTTCAGCCCGGACCCAGAAGGTCCGCTCTCTGGCACCCACGGCGTCCGGAGCGGCCGCGAGGGTCCGCTCAGCCCGGCGTCGTCGTCCGCCGGGGGTGAGAACGCGCCCACCGCTCAATCCGCGGTCGGGAAGGTCCTGGGGGGAGGGGCGGCGGCGGCGGCCGCGGGGACCGGGTCCCCACCGGGCCCGGCCGAGAGCGCGCGAGGCAGGGGGCCCGGCCGGGCTGGGTTCGGAGGCCCGGGCGCGGGCGGGAGCGGCGCCGGGCGGAGCAGAGGAGGCGAGGAGAGCGAGAGGAGGAGGCGAGGCGCAGGGAAGGCAGGGGAGGGGCGCGCGGCGGGCCCGAGCGGGCCCGGGCGCACGGGGCTCTCAGCCTCCGCTCCGCTCCCGCCGCCCCCCCCGCCCGCTCCCGCTCGGCTCGCCGCCTCGCCAGCCCCCGGGCGCGCCGGGTCGCTGCCCGTGGGACAGACCGGCGCGGGGTCGGGGCTGGGCCTCCCTCCGCTGCCTCGCCCTGCCCTGCCCC